TATATAAAATTTAAAATCGGAACAAAATATTATGAAAAAAATATGTAATATGAAAGTTATATACTCTGAAAGTATTCAAAACACTAAATAAGTTTAAATTGGAATACTATACAATCGTATGCTAACACGTTTTAAGTCTTAAGTATTAGTCACGTCTTTAATCGCCACTCGTTATTAGTCGGCCTTGTTTACATATTATATTTTAGTGGTTAAAACGTAAGTCCCACAAGGGAGAGTAAAATATTGTCCGTCCAATTGAAAAATAAAAACAAGTTGGTAAATAGTAAAATTTTTTACTTTTAATTAAATTGTATTTATCTTTGGGAGAACTTGTTTAAATTTTTAAATTTGATTATATACATTTTTTGGTTTGAATAAATAATAAATTATCCTTTGTTACAGTAGAGGTCAGATGCATACTCAGGAATTTTCAATGGAAGAAAGGTGGTTAAAAAATAATATTTCTTGTTGTTGTCAATTGGTTGTATATTTTATTGACAAATATATAGTAGGACTAACTGCCGACTAAGTACCTATACATAAGCTCAACTAGGGTTAAAATTCAGTGGGGGATACAGCCTACATAACAAAACATCTATTTAAAAGAACCCATGGCTTATATCTAAATCAATAAGGGACATTGTTTTTTTTTAGGGGGGGCTAAATTGTAGTCAGGGGGCTAAGCATCCCTTAGTTGCACCACTGACCAAGTACTTGGTAGTTTTGTAAGATAAGGGCCAAGGGGAGTACTATTAAGGCAGACATAAACCATATTTTAACAAAACATATTGTGGCACACGAACGACGCATTATCTGGAGTTCTAAGTGAATAATAATTAAATAAACCAAAATAAATGCTGTTTAATATATTATTAATGTTTGTGTTTAGGCTACTATACTACTAATTACTATAATATGCTAAAATTCTAAAAAAATTTGTTTATTGACATAAAAAATCGTTATAATGTAATATGTCAAAGAGCTGCTAATAAACAAAAAACTCTAACTAAAAATATGTTTTTTTTTTTAATTGGACCAAAGGCAACTAGTATGGATATGTCATATGTGAACGCAATAGCTGAAGGTTTCAAATGAAGTGCAGAAATACATGGTCTTAAATTCAATACATTTATTGTAAATATGTATTTAAATTGTACATTAAATAAACACATATAATGAACAATACTCAATAATACTAGAAATTAGAATTATAAATACCCTATATTACTGGTATGAATATAGGTACAAACATAGGTGCAACTAGGAACATTTTTTGTTGGTGCTGAAATTGTATCAGCAGCAAAACACATAATAATTAAAATTTTAAACTCCTAATCACTCTTATTAGTATTAACTTTTAAAAATGGTTCAATATTATGTAAGAAAGTCTTGTCGGAAAAATTGGTGTGTAGATAAATTATGATGTGTGATTAAATATGTTATTTATAATAATTTAAGTTACATATTAAAGAGCTGTCAAAGAACATAAAGTACCATACACTATACCTAAATTATATTATGTCAGGACTCAGGAGAGTGAAGAAAATACTATTGCTTATTTGAAAAATTTATTTTTAAGTTTAAGTAGGTCTTAGGGTTCAGTAATAAATAATAAATATAATTTAATAAACAATCTTTAAGGATTTTAAACTATATTATATCCGTGCAAAACCGATACAATGTTAAAAATAGTTTATGGCTTGTTCAAAAAAAAAAAAATATGAATGATATTCACTGTATTATAATTAAATATTGTAAACAAGAAGTTACTTAATACAACTGTGCAAATAGATTAAGTAATTTTAAGATCTTGATTAATTATGAAAGTATTAATTTTTTTCATTTGGTTTGGCCCCGTGTTCGGCTATATAGTGGATAATAAGTGGATATTAGTGGATAAGAAAATGTCCTATAACATAATTATATATTAGTATGTTCAGATCAGGAATTTGAAAGTAATTTCTTAATCCATTATGTTAGGTAAATAACGCTATATGAATATTAAATATATATCATTGTTTATGAATAATAGTAATAAGAATTAAAATAAGTTTTATTATGTTAAACCTTACAACATAAATGTATGTAAATTCAATTCAATTGGACGGACAATATTTTACACTTCCTTATGAGACTTACGTTTTAACCACTATATATATGTTCACACTGATAACGAGTGGCGACTGAACACGTGACTAAATACTTAAGACTTAAAACGTGTTAGCATATGATTGTATAGTATTCGAATTTAAACTTATTTAGTGATTTTAACAGGGGCGTCATTTGGGGGTGGGCAGGGTTAACATAATGGAATAAATAATTGGCCCTCCATTAATCCTCCTATGCACCGATATGATTACTATTAAAAATTAATAAAATATTCTTGGCCCAGTGGCGCTGGAGTCCAAAATTTTAACTATGACATAAGACACCTCCACATACAATTTTGACACCCACCTATTTATTATAATTACCTTACCATACACCAAGTAAATATATATTTTGACGCCACTGATTCGTGCATGTAATTTAAATTTATTTTTTTTATCAGCTTTATCAGATTTCTTATCAAATGTATACCTATTTGATAACCGTGTGAAACGAGTCTTTTATTCTGTGGTTTTATTATGTTAGACAGTTCGGTCCAGCCTGCTGGTATCAGCTATAGTGGAGTAAGAATAGCATATAGCAGATAATATATTAGAACCTGTAGAAAAGTAACTAATAATGTGTTATTTTGTATGAATATTGAAAAGTGTTTAATTTTTGAATTACATTTATTAAAAATAATTCCTTAAACTGCATTTGATTTTAATTCTCCAAAAAGTAGTAAAATGGCTTCTGTTGGCCACTAGTTGTTACTTGTTTTAGTTGCTTATATGCTTTTATTAAAAACCTTTTAATACAATGAACTGCTAGCTATTTGAAAATTTCAATATAAATTAGTTGATATGAGTAATTTTTTATTAGGATTATATAAGGGAAGGAGAAAATATTAACATACTTTAATACTTTAAACGGCATGGTTATTTTTTAGATATTAATGTTAAAGTTGGCCTGGTTAAATATTAAAATTGGCCTGCCTAAAATCTTGAACACCCAGAAAAAAACTGAAATGACGCCCCTGGTTTTGAATACTTTCAGAGTAGGTATAATATACCTGGTATATAACTTTCATATTACATATTTTTTTCATAATATTTTGTTCCACTTTTAAATTTTATGTAAGGATTAAATTATTCACAAAATGGAACAAAAAGTCCACCGAGAGGAACAAAATATCCCCGCGGAACAAAATGTCCCACTCGGACATTTTGTTCCGTTTTAGGATTTTTTGTTCCGTGTTTAATTTTTTTGAAAGGATCAAATTATTCACAAAAAGGAACAAAAAGTCCACCGAGAGGAACAAAATATCCCCGCGGAACAAAATATCCCACTAGGACATTTTGTTCCGTTTTAGGATTTTTTGTTCCGTGTTTAATTTTTTTGAAAAAGGAACAAAATGTCCCCAAAAAGGAACAAAATGTCCGCGGAACAAAATATCACCTTACCGTATATAATATATAGAAATTAGAAGGGCCCGACGCGATGGAGGAAATGGCACTGTGCGATTCTCGTCACCCGAGAACACGAGTTTGCTGAGCGACAATGAATTCGCCTGGACATTGATTAATCAAAAATGTTTTAGAGTGTAAAATCGTCTCGATTATTGCACAAAATTCGACCATGAACAAACATTATAGTGACAAAAGTGCAGCAGCGTAGACAATTCAAAATAGTGAGTACGGCCGTATGGCGAGTGCGAGACGTATGAAGTATTCAACGCGGACAAAATGTTTGGATGCGATCCAACCGACCTCCACGTGGGCGAGTTTTATTTCACGACTTCGACCGAGAATAATAACAACTTTTGGGTAATGCAAAGTTTGCTGCCGTTGATATCAGGCAGGCACAAATTTTTTTTCCATTATATGTTACCATAACGTACCATAGATTTTACATTTTTAAGACGCGATCTAACACGCGATTACGCAATGACAACTGTTTTGAATAAAACGACGAAAAAAAATTAATTAACATACAATATTAGGTATGCACAATATATTATACCTACTTATAGTCTTGGTAATAAAATATTAAACGTTTCCGATGATTACCGATTTGTATTTTTTATTATTATCATTTTTCTTATTAAAACACATTAGGGAAGAGGCGGCGGGTGAGGGAGAAACCACAAAATCTAGTACGATAATATTTTTGACAAATATATACACGCACGAGATGCAAACAAGCGAGATTGTGAGTTCCTTTACAAAATATAATCTCCGTTCGAAAACAATAATGTCAAACGTAGTTTCAACGCTACAGGCCTAAATATTAATTATAGAGTACATAGTTTAAAGCTAAAAAACAGTAATATACATTTTGTGCACTTAAGATTAATATATATATTATACATATACTTGCTTTGACTAGCACAGTCTTAGGACCGTTTTTCTTAATAATTGTTTTACTTAAAAAATGTAAAATACAAACACGACTTGACTCAGTCTTGACGCCAAATATTGCTTCCTTTCGTCTCCCTTCCGCGACCCGTCGACATCCAACGAGCCGACGGAATTTCGAAGGAAAACGGCAGGGAAACAAGAACATAACAAGGCTAAAATTATTCTAAATTTCACCTAAAAAGTAAAAATAAAGGACTGCCCCTACCGGAACGTACAATACCGTTTAATAGCTATTGGCATTTTCACGTAACGTAATACAATTATTTTTATACATAATGTAATATACAGTGGGCTTAATAAATAAATGCATATTTTACACCCGAGGCCTCGATCCTTCCAGGCCTAGAAGTCTGATAATCTGATAGGATCCATAGGGGGTGAAGTTTCATATTACAACATAGGTACATAATATGATTAATTATGTGAAACACGTTTACAGTATATAATATGACATAATGATAATAAAAATAATAATAATAATAATAATATAATTTATGAGTCTCGTTCTTTTTTCACTTTGAATTCTTCACCCAGTATGGTGGCTATCTCGCCTTGCATGAAAGCCCAGGGCACGTTTGAATTGGCCAGTGGACATTTCTCGCCACTTGGACAATACACCTGCGAAAAAAAACATGCAAGTTATAAAACAAAAACAAAAACAAAAACAAAACAATGAGACGCTGCAGGTCATCAACCTACCTCGGAGCCGGCCCCCTGTCGCTTGATGCTGTCCCTCGAGCACGGGAAACAGAACTTGTGATGAGGAACGGACGGGCACTGGACAAAGTGCGTGTCTTCCAACCGCTCTTGGCACAGCGTACACTTGAGTGTAGCCGTGTTGGCGGCAGCAGCCGCAGCAGCCGCCGCCGCATTCGTAAGAGGCACGGAAGCGGGCACTTGCGGCAACGTCGGTGCGGTAGCGTCCATAGGGGTTCCGGGCGCGATGCCGTCGGGGCCGCCGCCGACCGGAACCGAGGCGTTCAACGCGTTCCCTCCACTGGTGCCGTTAGCGGCTGGACCACCGACGCCGCCCGGGCCGTTAACGCCAGGACCGTTAACGCCGGGTACACCAGCACCGGGAGCGCCGCCGCCGTTGGCCTCACTTGACGTTACAGTTGTGGAGCTGACGTGACGGCTTCCGGATGATCTACGTCCGCTGGACGAACCGCCTACAAAACGCGACTTGTTAAAGAAAAAAAAAGGATGGCAAATCAACAAATCTACTTCAAGCAACAAAAACTAGAGTACGGTATTAGGGAGAACAGAGACCTCTAGGATAAAAAGTATCAGGAAATAGTATCGAGGGGGGGAGTCAATGTGTTTTTTTTACTTAAGGTTATTTTAACAGAAATGATTGTATCACAAAAATAATATCAAAATTATTGAAATTTTTTTTAACCCCCACCGGCCATCACACATGAAATTATTATTCATAAAATCTAAATAACAAAATATTTTTAATACAATTGAATTGATTTAAATATTACATAACAATAGCTTTAATGTGATAACTGACAAGTCTTGAATTCCTTTAAAGATTTTTTTTCACAGAGACTTTATTTTATAGACTATTTTCCTACTTTCCGATTGTAAAAGTAGCGCGTATATAAGGCGGCATGTGTTTTCTTTTCCCACGACTGCCGATTATGATACCCGGGTCCACGACACATGGTAAAACAGTAAAAATAAAACCTATACAAATTCAATTTTCTCATCAGAGACGGGAGTACGGGACACTATTTAAAATTATTGTTTTTTTAAAACACAAACCCTGTTTTGTTTTGATTTTTTAGTCACACGATAATCGTGGAAAATCATAAATCTCTCTACTCAAAGCAAAAACTTGCGTACGGTACGTAGTTGAAGTGCGCGAAAAGAGCTACGCGGTAACACGTTTCCCGGCAGCACTTATAAACAAGATTCGAAAAAAACGTTTATCGCGTAACGTCTGGTTGGCAATGTGTCAAAATAATGTTACAACAATATTAAAACGGTATAATATTATTATTAACGGTGCTGTTGTGGCATTCGTATACAGGTCGTGGACGCGGCGTCGAAAAATAGCCATACGCATTTTTCAGCGTTTTACGGTTTTTTATCCCGATACACGCTGAGATAAGCATTTTTGACCAATTTACAAGTTATTTACTATTTTAAGCTATTATGCAATGAATCCGCGATAAGTTTATTCCGTTGTATAATCAATATTTATTGCCATTGATTAAAAAAAAAAATGCACGTGAGAAAAAATAAAATATGCAATGTCGTAGGAATTTTTGAAAACGACTTTTAACGTTTAACTATTGACTATTAAATGCGCGACAAGATAAGATTTGTAGCAAAACGAACAATCTATACATATTTTCATTGGCGTACCATTACTACGTCGTCGAAAGTATTCGAACAGATACAATTTAATTGGATTTAAAGAATTTCCTACCAATGTTGTGCCGGCTGCGTCGAACGGCGCGAGATAAGATATTATTATGGTACTATTTTCAACCGGCCGTGAAGTACTTGAAATATGCGTGCATGATAAATTCGACGGAAAGCTATCTATCTAAAAATACGAGTAATCTAACAAACTGTCACATGCACAGATTGATAAGACGAGCATTTAAAGTGCACATGAAAGAGAGATGTACACTCGGCCTTATCTGACCTGGTGGCCCCTGTATGTTAGAACCCACTTAATGGGATGCGTGTTATATCAGCTCAACAACAAAATAAGATTCAGACCGACGAGAAATAATGAAATATAGGTTTCGTTGTTATTATAAATGTACTGCTAAAGAAATTAATGAACCGTAGGTTTGTATTTAAAGAAGGCAGCACACTATTCAAAACGACTGGTGCGTTTGGATCAATACAGGCACGACACAGCAGTGGTTTGGTAACTGTAGTGATTGAGGGGGCGAGTGCCGAGATAACCAAAAATCTAAAAACCCTGTGGAGTGCAATAAACCCGGGTGCCGTCGAACAATCAATACATTTAAAACATCCCCCTCCCAAGTCACAAATTGATGGATGGATTTGGCGTGTAAAAATACATACCGGTGGAGTTTGGCGAGTGTTGAGATCCTCGGGATGCGGACCTGGGACCACCGGGTGCCTGGGCGGTGGGACCGGTGGAGCCGGGCGGACTGCCGCGGGCACTCTGCGGAGAACCGGGCGGCAGGTTATCGGCGACGCTCATCAGCGCCGCCATCGGGTTGCTGGGCCCGTTCTGCTGGTTTTGCGCGCCCGGCTGCCCGCCGCCGCCGGCACCGATCGTCTGCATGGACGGCGGTCCGTCCGTCGGCGACCCGGTCGTCCGGCCGGCGGCCAGTGGTGATCCAGCCGCCGGTCCGTTGCCGTTGGTCATGCACTGTTGTGCCACGGCGGCCGACGCATATCCACCTGGCGCACACAAGGGACGGTCAGTAAAAATAAAAAACAAACAAAAAACAGACAAACAAAAACTGGCCTGTTAGTCCAAAAGATAAGAACGTGTAGTAAGATATTGCCAGAACAGGCAGTGCATAATAGAAGTCATAATAGAAACAAAGGGTTAGTAAGAAGAATGAAAGAAGAAAAAACGTAGTAGTCTGTGGCTGTTTGAATAAGATTTTATGATATACCTATTTTATTTTTCCACTCGTATTCAATGAAAACGCGTTTATATTTTGAGGATCCCTTTTTCGACCACGTGTTATATTTTTGTTTAATAGGTCATTGACAACGACGACGATTACCACACCCCGATCGGTAATTCACGCAAGAGTGCACGCGAAGCGAAGTATCCGCATTCTAGTCAAAACGCACGAATATGCAGCACCGATCGGCACCCGTTATTTCCACCCGCCACCAACACAGCCCACCTGGTACGCAAACAACAATCAATCACCACTAGGATGGGGGGGGGGGGGACGAACAGGACGATCAGATCATCCGATGAGCGATTGTCGTAGAAAATGGGCGCAAGCGCAATGGAACATATAACGTGCGTGTACATGTTACGTCACTAGACTCGTTGTATACGAGTAACGTTGCCAAATCTATAAGCGACCGACCGACCGACCAACCCACCCTCCATAAACGTAAAATAAATAAATCAGGATTTCGTACTTTCTCGAGTGTTTTTTTCGTCCCACCACCAAGGTTATACTTCTACAGAAGAAGGAGGATTTTTAATATCGATCGCAGGGTAAATCACGTCTCCGATGTATTAATATAGTGGCCTGCCGGTTGAACCAGGTCGGGGAACTGGATCCCATGACGTCACGGCCCATTCGTCAGCCGACGTATTGTTGTTGGCCGTCGCACGTCGACGAGTGTATTATCGACGATCTCGATAAGCTCACGCCCCCAACCATTGCGCGCGACAGCTCAACGCTAAATATAACCGCTCGCTGGCTTTACAAAATTACTACGTCACAGAAGAACTTCCGCGATAATGAATAATAATCCTTCGGTTATAGTCGTATAATGCCCAATATACATTTACGTAGGTAAGGAAGGAAATGATATTTTTTCGAAAATAAATAAAATAATAGTGATTTCGGGATGCGAAACACGGTGATCATCTACATAGCAATGACGTCGTTGTCGGACATTGCAACCACCAAGCTACCTAATGCCGGAAGATTTGTTATTATTTAATATGAGGTGAGGACACTTACTGGATGCCTTGAACGTGGATGTGTCGAACGATGTGGTCCTGATCGGGTGTTTAGGTTCGGCTTTGAACGACCGCTCGACGAACGGCACGGCAAGACTGACTGCTGGCAATGATTCGCCCCTCTGTAGCGGCGGTCGCTGTTGTTCTTCCATCATGCGCTTGTTGCTCTCAGAGTGGTGATCGTCGTCATCAGCTTGAGTGCTCAGTCCGCGTTTTAGGCCCTGGCTGCCGGCTTGGGCCCGGCTCGGAATGTGATGCGCCATGTGTTGCTGTTGCTGCTGTTGTTGCTGCTGTTGTTGTTGTTGTTGTTGTTGCTGCTGTTGCTGCTGGCTCTGCGATAAGCGCACCGATGTCCGGCTCATAGCCACCTCGTGGTCGACAACGTGACCACCACCCGGCCTACCCGGGTATTCCATAAGCGTGGACCGCTGATGATGCAGGGCCGCGTAGTGAGACGTAGCCGCAGCTGGCGGCGGGGGCGGTGGTGGTTGTTGTGTCTGTCGTGCGGCCAACTGGTGTGCTTGTGGTGGCAATCCCACCACTTCCAGAGTACCGTTCTCGTGTCGGTGCGAGTTTTTCGGGTGGTGCGCGTTGACGGCGTTGGAACCACCGCCCACGGCCGTGGACCGGGCTGATTCCTGGAATCCATGGGCCCGTTTCATTTGTCTGGCCGTTTCGATCACCAACTCAATGCGGTCGGCTCCCTCGTAGTTGACACACCCGCGGCACACGGGCTCGGTGAAATCGTGCAACATTGCCCACGGCATGCGGGGCAAGTCACACAAGTAACAGTGTTGTCGCTTACCCATCTGCATGGTTACGGATTTCTCAGATGATGTGTGCGCGTGGTCTCAGTAGAAGTCGACAGGTACTATTTACCAGTACTGAACACGCGATGGTGTCGTTGAGCAGTTGTTGTATTTGCTTTCAATAAACGCCACTCGATAAAAATCCATATGATCAAATTTAATTGTAAAAAAAAACACGAAAAAACAAAACTAATAGTAATAATAATAATAATCAGGACGCGCGAGAACACGGACAACGGATACCACGACCGCGTACACGGGCACGTACACACGGAAACTGAACATAACAGCGCCACACGGCAAGCGCGATGAACAGCCTTAGCGGAGTGACGTCGCTGCGGTGAAGGTGAGAGCTGAGGGGGGGTGTGACCGGTCACAGGACGGGATCAGTAGTCAGTGGAGGAGGGTGGTGTCGGTGTCCGTGCGCGCGCGGGCATAACGATCGTGTGCGTGTGTCGTCGCAGCGCTGCCAACCTTTCTTGGGTGGTGGTGTGGAGAGAGCGGGGTTTCAGCGACACGGCCAATGAACAACCGGCTTCTCTGGAGCTCGACGCGCGCGTGACGTATCTTCTAAAACTCGTACGTGAGAGGGAACTTCCAGGACGCGCATGCGCCGGAAGTCACCGCCGTAATCGTCGTATTTTATTTTTATCATTGATCCGAAAACACCGCGCGCGCGCACCATCACGAAAAACACACCGCGCATGCCGACCCTACTCTTCCACTTATCCATCAACCGGGTCAGACGTCGTCGGCGATGCCCTCGGAGTACGGGTGTTGTCGGGACGCGGGTTGGGAAGGCGGCGAGGACACAGCGGCTCTGTGTGTTGTTACGGTCGTCGGCCATGGTGTGTCGGAGGGTGGGAGACTGGGATGGAGAATACGTCACGCGAGATAAAAACCGAACCGCTCGTTGTTCGGCAACATGCGCGCGCCGGTGCAGAGGAACAACGGTGAATAATGAGCAGAAAAAAATACACAATGTCGAATACATTCACACAAACGCCCGACAGTGTAAACGATATCGTCAAGTACCAATAACTGCTGCTTACTCTGCTATAACGCCCCCGACGGCAGATAGGTATGTGTATTGTAAAATGTATATAGTACCGCGATATACATAATACTAAGGCACTACGACTATAATAATGCAGTCATACTGAAAATTATAGGTCCAATATTCAACGTCGTCGCCAATGTCGATGTAATGGTATTATTGCACCCCAAATCCTATGTGTACTGTTATAACATTATAATTGTGACTATAAAATAGTATAAATATGCATTTTTGTTGTTGTTCCGAGGTGTTCGGAATGATTGCGATTCGCGACAGATTCTCACGACCTATGGATGTGTGCGTTTTGTTTTAGAGTTTTTCACGCGGTGTTCGATTTCATATTTTCATAACTGCGACTTTCCGCTTCACGGCATTCGTGGAAATGCGACGATCGGCGGTCGCCACGTCGTAGAATAACACGCTTCTTGTACTTTTATGATGGTATTTACAACAAATAAAAATATTATATTGTACTCTATTGATGTTGGATTAAATCCGATATGATTAGTTGTAAAAATGTTATGAATTTAGCAACTAACCGTAACATTTGTGAATACGATACTGTAATATTTATATTTTCATATGGAAACCCAGTTGTTGAAATTCGTACCCGAATTATTATCCGGTTTCTGGATACACGTGTAAATTAATATAATTCGGTTGTTTATGGCGGCGGGTGCAACAATTACTATGAGTGGGGTTGGGCGAGGTGGGTGAAAGACGGTAGGACCACCCTCAGTGAGTGAATAGTAGTAAAAAAAAACCAACCAATGATTCCCATGTGTTTCATGAATAACAGGGATGCTGAACAATGTCAAGGTCACTTTTTCCCACTTCGACCGGAGGTGGAACATGATAAACAAACCCTCTCACGTTCGTGAGAGAATCCCAAACGTATTGTTTTTTTTTTTTTTTTTGTGAGTTCGTTCCCTATTCAACTACGTTTTTGTATTCACCTGCTGTGATATTCTGGACGAGGTCGAAACCGGTCTGAGGTCTTTTTTATTATTATTTTTAAGAACTCCGTTTTCACAATATATAGTTATTAATCACACACTACACAGCATTGCTCTTTTGTCACAATAGAGACCACGTTCCGAATTAACAAAAAAAAATAACATCCGATAGACCTCTTCGAATATTTTGTCAGAGCATTTTAGAAAGTTGTACAACCGGTTGTTGCAACACGATTTCAAAAATGTTTATATTGCACATCATCTATAATATAACCAAGCTCTAACGATATTCCTCGTAAACACTGCATAGTGCATAATTTTACTTTTTTACGATATTATATTTTTTTTAAATGAATGCCATAATATTTCATACAGCCCTCTGTTTTTTAAAAACTAAAAGTTATTGGAAAAATTATAAGTTATAAATAACTAAAGGTGCTTAAAATTAGCTTCGAAATAATTAAATCTGGTTTTGAGAAACCTGTAATAATTCCTTTAATAATTCCATTGTTATGTCTGAATAATCTACACTATCTACATTCTACAGACTACGATGATTACAGTTACGCGTTTACCTTTTTGCAATATGGTACCTAACTATAATCTATCAAATACTTGAAATTACTAACGACCACGATTAAAGATTGTACTATCTATAGCCGTGCTAATGACTAATGAATATAACAGGATAGTATCTTATCTACTATATGAGATAACTTAGAAGTGAAAAAGAAAATTGTTCCGAATTTTAATAATTATTTTGTATTATATATTATATATATTATATATATATATTATCAATTGATAGAAATAAAAGATTATAGGAATTTTAATATTTACACTACAATATAATATACACTGTGACGGAAATACAATATAATAATGACCCGTATATTAATAATCTTATTATTAACAAACACAATAAAATGTAATGTCTACATAATGCCTAAAAACAATTAGTACCTTTAAATTACAGAATATTATAATAAATATTAAATACTAATGACACGTATACTTTCAAGAATTTACGCAAAAGTCTGAAACATATTATCTATTTTGAATGTACAATCTGTGTTTGTGTGTATCGTCTACTCCTTCAGTGAAAAAAAAATAACAATAATGTGTTATATTTAATATTTATAAACCAGAAATAAGTTCATTCATTAATTTATGATAGAAATAATTAATATAGTTACATATTTATCATGATTTAATTAATCTCTAGTGGTTCACGACTATACGAAAACAAAAATAATTATTGTTATTGTTAACATCTTGTTGATAGACGATCATTCACAAATCACTATTTTGGAAAATGTATAAGTAGATACTCTGTAGTTGTAGTAGTAGTTGATGCAAAATAAATATGGCTACGTAAAAATAAAAAAAGTATCTTCAATAGTTTTAAAGAAGATATATAATTGTATATATTGATGAATTGATAGCATACGACGTTCTTGAATGAATGAATGACATCAGTGTTTTTGTATTACACACATGAACACATAATATTATTATACAACACAATATGTCAGTTATAAAAAGTAATTTGTTTTATTTTCTTAAACTACTATCCAATTATTCCAATTTATATATTAAAAAACTGGGATATGATTAATTTATAAAAAATTATAATTTAGATTCTGAGCAGAGCAATCATGAATGTATTGATTTTACAATGATGTGTGTTTTATTTTTATTTTTTGTGTTTGTGGACCCGATGTTCAAAACTACAAAGGAAAACTATAAAGGAAATTACATATTAAATAACCAAGAAAAACGATTTTAGTTATTTTGTTGTAATATTATAATATTAGTTCAACTTACCGACTACCGTATTAATAATATACTATAGACTATAGTGTTATTTATTATAATATTATATTGATATGCTATGGTATTATCATTGATTATAAATACTATACTACTATTTATAATCAATGGTATTGGATATATTATTGTACTATACTTTTAGTTTTGTGTGATAAAAAAATAAAAGTTTGAACAACAAAACATTACAAATAACAGTTTAAAATATATAATTTATTTTATTGTAATTTGTAGGGTGTTCGAACACATGGTTTTTTTTGACAAAGTTTATCTTAAGGCTTAGAAGTTGCATTTTGAAATCTGTTAATCCACAATAGTCACTGGCCAGTATAATTGTGGATAAACGGATGTCCAGTTGCCAGTGCCCAGTGACTACAGAAGTCTGAAAGTCACAACACCATCGTCCATCGGTGACAAATTATAGACATTGTCGTCCAGAGGTGGAGGGAGGACTATTTTTCCCAGAGCACATTTTAGAACAATAATAAGGGGCCCTCTAAAAAATTACAGACGGACTTGAGTGTTAGTCAGATAATAATACTTATTATTAGAATTACTCGGCCATTAGAACCTATTATTGCTAAAATCTTTTTCTTTGTGAAATATAATATACCTATACCTACCTACTATAATATTATAAACTAATACGATTTTATTTCACTTTTATGTATGCAATTATATTATACAATCAGTCACACAGGCACACAGCCTTCGTTTTCAGTTATCTTAAGTTATAATCATTGTAATTTATTATTCGGAGTGCGGAGATTAATGAATAATGAAAATAATATCCAACTTTATCCACAGAAATTCGTTATTGCAAGTATCAACGTGGCATAGCAAAGTCGGGCGGGCGGGCGGTTAATATAGTTATTGCTTATTAGTTACCAAGTTACCCATGGATAATTATTGAATTTTCGTTATTACTTATTCATTGTTTACTGTTTAGTGTTTCTGTGTTAACTGTTTCAAGGTACAGCTTATAATCTTATATAGTCGCTATAGAGTGCAGGTAGCTGTTATTATTTTAATACTGAAAACTCAAAACTATATTAAGAGAATGTCAGAGCACTATTTGTTTTCTCCCTCTGGCCCACGCGCAACATAGATAAAACGCATTTACGAAGAATCATTTTTTCTATGTTTTTAAGTAATCTTAGAGTAAAATCACCTATTAAAAAAAAGATAGAAAATAATATTTTTAAGAGAATGACATATCGATTTTTCGAAATATTATACCAAAACAATTTAAACATAATTTAAATTTATACATTTTTTTGTTTATTTTGAAAGTCAAATGACAATAAAATATAAAATCGATGTCATTTCCTCAAAAATATTATTTTCTATCTTTTTTGTAATGGGTGATTTTACTCTAAGGTTACTTAAAAACATAGAAAAAATGATTGTGCGTTAATGCGTTTTGTACATGTTACGTGTGAGCCAGAGAGAGAAAACAAATAGTGCGCTGACATCCTCTTAACACCGATATCATGATTTAGAATTCTAAAGTTTGGTTGGTCAAATTTGGTAACATTTTGAAAATTTCAGTTTTCTTTTTATCATGTCGTGTTATGATGATTTAGAGGCACCTCATTCATTTTCCCTTAGTCCCGAATAACTTTGGAGTGATTTTGTGTGTAGGTAGCTCACTTACAGGTATCTTATGAATATGGCATATGTATAGGTACATCTATCGTTGGGATGTGTCCCTTTGGCAGGTAAAGTAGTGATCACTTATGAATTTGGGCTAATCCCCAAACGTCTGGAAACATTTAGTCAACACTCAAAATTCAAAGAAAAACGAAACTTTCCGCAAAGCTAGCGATGGCCGTACCTAGCCTATCCACACATCTCGGACTTAAAAAACAGGCTGTACAGAAAATGGAAACTCCAACGCTCTTCGGTTTTACATCAGTGTATATAGATGTATGTACGACATGACGTGCAGAGTCCACCAGCAACACTCGTTGACACGACATGATGCACCAACGCCGACGACAT